ATATTCATAACTGTTTCTTGTATGTAGTAGACAGATAGACTTTGCTTTTTATCCTGTCTGTCTCTATCTCTATATCTGTCTCTGTTTCTCGTTCTTGTAGTACTGGGGATGGTATCCAGGAGCATTCTACCACTGAGCTATGTGCCCAGCCATTTTTATTTTTCATTTTGAGACAGGGTCTTGCTAAGTTGCTCAGGATGCCCTGGAACTTGCATTCCTCCTGCCTCAGTCTCTCAAGTCACTGGGACTACAGATGTGCACCTCTGCACCAAGCTTCTGAGTTTTAATTGGAGTATTTAGTCCATTTACGTTTAATGTAATTATTTTTCTGGTTGGATTTAAGTGTCCTCTTTAGCTATTTATTTTCTATTTATTCTATGTGTTATTTGTTCCTCTTTTTCTTCTCTTGTGTCTTTTTTTGTGCCATCTGAATATACTTTTGGGAGTTCCATCTATTTCATGTATTATTATTTTTTCATTCTTCTGTATTATCATTTTAATGATTCTCTAGAGGTTAAGACGTGCATCCACCACAGTCTCCTTTCATATGACAAGGTGTTATTTTAGGAACAGCATAAGAACCATACCATTCCACTTCCCACTTCCCTCTCACTCTTTGTATTCTCATTGTCTTTTTAAATTTATGTATTCTATAAACCCAGTGGTGTGCTGAAGCTCACCATGAGAGAGGACTGTTAAATTTGAAAAAACAAAAATACAAGCCAGCTGTAGAACTGATAACTTGAAATCACCATTATGGAAATACTTACCTTACAGTAATAATAAGGTGCTATGAATAAGGACTTTTTCCCCCTCAGAGAGCCACTTGTTAAAAATTTACCAGAACCCCACTTTATAAATTGTACAATACAATTGTTCTGTTTTTGGGTACTGGGGACTGAACCCAGGGGCGCTTAATCACTGAGACACTTCCCCAGAACCCCTTCCTCCCCTCTTTTTAAAGTTTCAAAACAGGGTCTTGCTAAGTTGCTTAGGGCTTTGATAAGTTGCTGAGGCTGGCCTTGAACTTGTGATCCTCCTGCCTCCATTGTTATATTTTTAACAGTCAATAATCTTTTAAAGATATGGATAAATAAATTAAAATGAAGGTACTTCTAAAATGGTCTTTTACATTTCCCAGATATTTAGCTCTCTCTTGGTTCCTTCCTGACAGGAAGATCCAGCTTCATTCTCTTAGTCGCTGGCGTCCTTTCCTTTTACCATTTCTTACATTGCTGGTCTGGGAGGAGGAATTCCCTCTGCTTTGGTTTTTCTGGAAGTATCTGGGTTTGAAGTTGTTTTCACTGGATACAGAGTGAAGTGATTTTCACTGTGAGAGTCGACCAGTTTTTTTCTGTTGTTTTTTTTTCTTTCAGCACTTTAAAGACATCATCTCACTGTCTTCAAGTTCACATTGTTTTTGGTAAGAGATCAGCTACCATTTGTATCACTGTTCCCTTTAGGTCACATACCTCTTTACGCTGTTGGAAGGTCTCTTTATCTCTGGCTTTGCAGCATTTGGGTTGTACTGTGCTGGGATGCACTGTCTTGTACTTATTTCCTTGGAGTTTGCCGAGCAGGTTTTGGATCTGTGTGTGGGTGTCTTCCATCAGTTTGGACTGTGCCCTGTCACCATGTCTCCAGATACTTCTTTTTCCTCCTTCTCTCCTCTCCTTCAAAACTTGTTGTACTTATGTCAGAGGATTCAGTATATCATCTTACAAATCTCAGGTCATGTCTTGTATATTTTTTCACTTTGTTTTTCTCTCTGTGCTTCAGTCTGGGCATTTTATATTCCATCTTCAACTTCACAGATATTTTCCTTTGCTGTGTCCAGTTTGCTTTAGATTTTAACTTTTCATTTCTGATATTGTATTTTTAAACTCTAGTATTTCTATTAATTCTTTTTATAATTTTCCATATTAATTTCCCATGTATTAATGCATGCTGTTTAGATAATTCCATTTGTCATAATTAAAAAAAAAAGTCTCTGAGAACTTAAAAATCTGAGCAACTCCAGGTCTACTTCTATTAATTCTTTTCTCTCTTAACTATTTCATTTTATTGCTTTCTCTGTGTTTGTTAATATCTGAGTGTAAAGGGGATATTTTATGGAAAGGAATGGTAGAGAATGAAGTAGATAATATTTACCTCCAGAAAGGGATACTCCCCTTTTCCAGTAAGACTGACAGAGTGTGGACTTCATCTGATGGGTCCTTGAGCTGGTTTCAGCTTTTGGTGTACTTTTACTTCAGCTCCAAGTGTTTGAGGGCAGAAGCAGAACTTTCCCTTCACTAGGACTAGGTAGACTTGATACCTGAAGGGCTGTATTTTTAGTTTGTCTTGTTTGGGTGATTAGGAAGTTTTCTTTTCTTACAAATCCTGTCCCCCATTTCCTGAACCTAGCCCTGTTGACATTCATCTGGGCTTTGGAGAGCTGTGACCCCACACACTGTGAAGGCCTGGAATGCCTCATGTCTCTTTCTCTTAGTGACACGACCCTCTCTCCGTCTCTGGTAGGTAAGCATGGGGGACCTGGGAGGGGAGAACATCTCTCAATTCTTCTCTCTCCCTCCCAATATTTTGTATGTGAAAATACGTATCATGTCAGGTCTTTCTCTCGGTTCTCCTCTCCTGCCTCCCACCCCAGTTTTGGTACCTTGCACTCACGGGGAATCCCCAGCCCTCCTCAGCCTGTCCCTTGGGTGTACCATCTCTGCACTGGTGATTCAGACCTGAGTGGCCCCTCCTTGTCATTGGATGGCAGCTCCCAGGTGGCCCTTGACGTTTGGCCACATCAACAGGCATTTGCTCAGGGTGTGAAGCTGCTGAGGTCCCTCTCTCCTGGGAGGATCTTGGCATTTCTTCTTAAAATTTAGTTCCTTTAGGTTTTTTTTTTTTGTCCACAATTCTCTATTTGTTTTTTAAAATTATGGTTTTGTAGCTTATAAATCCTCTTGGTTTGTGAGGGTGGACGTTTAGTGTAGGGGAAACAGTATCTTTTAACTTCCTATATCGGAATCTGAAGTAGAACCCTGTCACACAGGAGTAATGACAACAGCTTGTTTCTAATAAGGCCATCCCACATGAAGTCTATCAAAAAACCAGGACCATAGGGTCAGCCACACAGAAACTGAAAGAACATTTCAGTTGGGAAAGACTCAAGTGTTTCAATGTTAAATCCACGTAGAATAGAGAGAACTTAGGGCATCTGGTGTAGCAAAGGAAACTTGTTATAGGAAGGAGCTGAGCCTCTGCTCAAGCGTGAATCACCAGGAACCATACATCCAGGCCCAGCGTGCGCTCAGAGCTCAGCCAAGCAGTGACTCGGAGCCTGCAGATGCGGGTGTCTGAGTAGGACTCCTTTACTTTGGAATCTGGGTAAGATGACCACGTGCCCGTGAGGATATCTATTTAGTGCTGCATCTGGGAAGGGGTAAAAATTAGACTTTGGAAAGTTCTCAAAAATATGAATAAGAAATAGAGTAAATGCCATGAATTCAGCCCTTTAATAAATGACCTCTTGATGCCCGAGGCAGGGAGACGGAGAGTCAGCCTCCAGAGTGAGCCACTCAAACTGCTGAGCCCCTGACAGTGAGAAGGCTCGGGACACTGCTGTCTCGCTCTGTTTAATGCTCAGTATTAAAATCATATTTCCCATATCTAATAAACATATATCTAGTCTTGGCAACTGTGGGGGATGGCCCCAGGACACCCCAACAGTATCAAAATCCTCGATATTCACAAATTTCATCGCCAGTGAATGGACATATATTCAATGCTTGCACCATTCAAAAGAACCAGCTTTACAAAACTTTATAATCCATTGAATTCCAATTGAAAGGAATGTAATCGAGTTTGCCGTCCATGTGAAATGCCCCAGGAATGGTGGTCTTCCCTCTTACTTAGACGTGAATCGTGATGGCGGCACTGGAGTGCTCACTCTGTGCCGGGCACTGTCTGAAAACGCCGCGTGACTTAGCCCAGCGAACTCCAGAGGACCCTAGAAGCAGGTCCTCGTGGACCCCATTTGCAGAGGAAGAAGCTGCACTACAGAGAGCTCGAGGGTCCCTCCAGGTCCACACAGCTATCGAGTGGAGGGCCAGACCTCAGCAGTCCAGCCCAGAGTCCACGGGCCTGGCCACTCACGGCAGGGACTTGGAAGAGTGGCCCCTGCATCCACAGGCTCCCCAGTGGCATGCTCAGCCAACGGTGCGGAGACAAGACCTGAAAGCCACTGCCTCTCCATGGAGCCTGCAGATTTCCCTCTTGTCATTATTACCTGAACAGGGTGGTGACTACCTGCGAGCACTGACATTACCTCAGGCCTCCCCGCAACCTAGAAAGGACTTAAAGGGTGGGGTTATGTGCAAGTACGATGTCATTTTACATAAGGAACCTGAGCCTCTGTGGACCTTATCTTCTGAGGACCTGCCAGAGCCTTCCACCAACAGTGTGCGAGAGTCCCAGCCCCTCCACATCCTCGCCAGAATTGTCACTCCTGTCCTTTTATTGCAGCTGTCCTAAGGGTGAGCCTGTCATCTGAAAGACCTGGCTGAGCGGACGTTGGCTTGGCCCAGGGCAGCAATGGTGGGGGTGGCCAAGAACCAGCCGTCCCGGCTGTTTGGCTGCTGGAGCCTCGGGTCTTGTGAAGGCCTGCGGAGCTGAGCGGGGAGCTGCTGCTGGACCAGGTTGGGGGGAAGGTTTCTCGGAGGGTGCGAGGCACCTGCTGAGGACACACAGACTGCTGTGTGGCTGCTTCTTGTCACGGTGACAAAAATACCTGAAAGAACAACTCAGAAGAGGCAACGTTTCATTTTGGCTTTATTTTGGTTTCCGAGGTCTCAGTCCGAGGTTAGCCAACTCCACTGCTCAGCTCCTGGGCTGGGAAGCAGGGAGAGTGGGTGTGAGCGTAGGAGCCAGGGACTCAATACAGACCCCAAAGACCACCCCAGGGACCTACTTCCTCCAGCCACACCCCCCCGCCCCCCGCCTACAAATCACTGATCCACCAAACGCATTCATCCACTGATGAGGTCGGGGTGCTCATCCTCTCATTATTTCACCTCTGAACATTGCTACAGGGAACACCATGTTTGTAAAACATGAACTTTTGGGGACACTTTCCATCCAAACCATAACAACCACATTAAATAACAACATTAAATCACAGAAAACGAAGCTGGATTCCTGTGTCAATATTCATTTACTCGCCATTGCTCGGTGGGTGTTGGCATTCCTGGAAATCTTCCTTCGTAACCAGAGACAGTTTTGTGGTGAGAGGCTTTGGCATTTGCTGGAATCAGACAACACCGTATTGTTTGTATTTTATTTATTCTCAGAATTATCTTTGACAAAGCAAGTGATTTTTGTTTTTTATTAATGCCTATGATTTTTTAAAACCCTCCTTTTAAGTTTTCATATGAAGCAACTCAGAGGAAAACGCTGAGTAACTCATGGTGCGGAGCAAACCGTTGTGGCAAAATTCTGAACTCTGGATGCAAAGATTTGAAATTCGGGAAGCTGAGAGGCGGAGCCAGAAGGGCCCAGATGCAAGTAAGGTGCTCGTTCCCATAGCCCCAAAGGCGAGTGTGCTGCCCTCTTTCCCGTGAACCCAAGGGCAAGTTGCTTCGCAGTGGACCTGCCAACCTGGGGTGAACTCTCCATGACCTTTTGGCTTGGAACCTGACCCTGAACCATCCCCATGACCAGCCTCATCAAGGGCAGCACTATAGGGAGAGCAAGGTCCTCCTGAGAGCTGTCTAGAGCGCGGGAGGGAGGGGACCCCAGCCTAGAACAGCTGTTCCTAGACCAGCTCACAGCCTGGACGCCAGTCCAGCCCCTAAAGTCCAGGTGCAGGCAGCTGGGACCAGGGTGCATCTCGCCAGGGCCCTGGGCTGGCCTCTCTGTACCAGGACAAAGAGGGGAAGAGACCATGTTTGGGCTCAGAACAGAGGTTTCGAGCTGGGGCTCAAAGGTGGCAGGACTGAAACAGTGGCAAGCCCAGGGACCACGCCTGCCCAGAGCCACACGTGGTCCTCAGCACTTGGCCTGTGCTGGCTCCCCTCACCTCGGGCAGCTCCACTGGCACTACCTTCTGAGTGCTCCCCCTGCCGGAAAGCCAGACGGACACTCTGCTGACCTCCTGTGCATCTCTAGGTAGGGGAGGCTCACAGGGAGGACAGGAATCGGCACACAGGGCTGCGCGGTCCCCGCATGGTGCAGGTCCCAGTACTTGTGACAATCACCAGCATCCGTACTTGCTCCCACTGAGAGTTGGGGGTCTCTGTCCCACCTCTTGATCGGGAGGAGGGGCTTGTGACGTTCCAATCAATAGCGAGAACACGGCAAAGGTAGAGCTACGGGATTCCAGAGCTAAGTCACAAGGGCCCGGTGCCTGCCTGGGTCACTCAGTCTGGGGACCCTCGCCCTTGAAATCCAGCGACCACATTTGAAGTTCATATTGAACCAGGCAGAAAAGCCACACAGAGAGGGGCCACAGGAAGAGACCCACACTCCCAACCCAGCTAACGGGCACTGAGCGAAGGGCCCTCAGATGACTGCCATTCAGCCTCTGGCCTGCAGCGGAAGCCAGATGTGCTGGAGCAGAGACAAGCCCCCGCCACGCAGCCCTGTCCAGTGTCTGACCAGCATAATCTGAGTCGCTCCTGCCACTGACTTCACAGAGCACCTGATTCCCCAGCAATAGGTGACTGTTATTGACACTGACACTTAACAAAATTGCAGCTTCCTTTAGGAAGAGGGCTCTGCACGTCACAAGGTCCGCACCCCGTGACGTGGACCTTGGGATGCTGCGTAAAAGCTGGCTCCAAGGCAGGACCCACTGGTCTCCTTCATTCACATCCCTGGGGCAGTGGGAAGGAAGTGGCCGTGGGAGAGGGCTCTTCAGAAGTGCCCACAGCACACAGGCGGCTCGGCTGACCTCCACTCTCATCTGCTAGTAGTGAAGGCGTGCCCACTGGACAGATGAGGAAACGGAGGCGCAGAGATGAAGACAACGGTCCAAGGTCGCACAGCCAGCTCAGGTCAGGACTGAAGGTCCCCGGACACACATGCCGCTCTCCCCACCCACCCCTATACCGGGCAGTTCCCTGGAGGCACCCCAAGACCGATTTTTGTTGAGTGAAGAACCTAATGTGAGAACACAGAGACATGCTCCAACTAGACACCACGCCACGCTCCCTCCCTCTCTCGCCTTCCCTTTAAAGATGGCCAGGGGGACAGGCCACGCCCAAGCCCTCAGTACCACTGATGAACACCCTGTGCCCTGCTGGGTGCTGTCCTGCTCTTCTGTCTCCACCTTCCCAGCCGCCCTCCAGGGGGTGGTCCTCAACCCAGGGGCTGGTCAGAGCCTCGCTGCCACCCAGCTGGACTGCATCCACGGAGCGGCCGGGCCCCACATGAGGCAGTGCTTGGCAAGAAGCCAACGGGCAGGGCGGGCCTGAGCCCTGGCTCAGGGAAACCAGAGGACCTGAGGGAGTGCGCAGGCCTTCACTGCGCTGGTCTGCAGGGTCGGTGCCTGCGAGTCTAAATGCGTTCCAAGGGCTGCAGGCGAAGTGCACGAGACTCCCGCTGGCCACGGCAGGAAGGGCGGGAGGCCGCTCTATACTTAAGAAGGGAGAAGGGTGACCAAGAGAACACAGCAAGAGAGAGGACAGGAGAGGACACTGAGAACAGGAGGGCCACACCAGGGCAGAGCCGAGAGGCGGCCCCTGGAGCCGTGGAGGGAGCCTCTGCACTTCTTGAAGATGGCGTGAGCCTGATGTGCGGGGCTAGCCCGTTTGCGTTCTCTGTCACCTGCAACTGCTCTTGCTGTGTAGGGGTCAGTGAGTGGACAGCCAGCCACTGTTCCATGTCCCTTGCATGCTTATTCATTCAGCATGGGTCAGCGGCCTATCAAGCCCTCGTTAAATAGTGCCATGATTTTAAACGGGAAAACAACAGGCTGGGGGAGGTGAGCGGATGTGCTGCTGTACTTATGACGGTCACTGGCCGGGTGACGGAGGGCGTGCTGAATGCCGGGCACTGCACTGGGTGCTTCAGTGAATGACCAGTCCTGCCCAGTCGTTCGGCCCTGTGCCTCCTTCTCAACCACTGCGCACAGAGCTCTTCGTGACCTGCTTCCTGCCCCTGGAACATGCCAAGTCTCCACTTACTGCCCACCTGCCTGTCTCTGGCCACCCTCCCCAGCCCCTGCCACCATGGCAGTGACTGGTTCCTTCCCCTCACTCAGGTCTCAACTCGAACATCTTCTCCTCAGAAGGGCCCCAAGATCGCCCAGTCCAATGAAATGCAGCTCTCTCCAACTCGGCCACGCTCGCCCTGTATGCAAGCCCCTCCCTCTTATTTTCTGCATAACATGATTCTATTTGAAATGATTCCCCCCAGAATGAACTCCATGAGAACAAAGACTCCCATTTGTCCCTGGCCACATTCCCGGCACTGAGAACAGTGCCTGGGACATAGAGGATCAATACCTATCGAATCATTGAAACTGCTTTACATCATATTTGATTACTGCGAGCATCAATCAAAATCTTGAGTATCACCTCATCAACAAGGATTAACTGAGCAGCTACTACGTACCAGGCATTATTCTGGGTGCTGGAGGTGCGGCAGTGATGGAGCCAAAGTTTTGCTGGTTTCGTTCGAGTAGTTCTAAGACAAGACACGTGTGTAAAATGGACAGCATCCCGCCTGACTTTAACACGATGAATAAGAATACAGCAGGCAGGGGAGAGAGTTGGGGGTGCTGCCTCCCCAGAGGATCTCTAGTCCCCTGCCCTGCTCCAGCCCCTCCTCTCCCCTGCGCCACTGTCAGCATCTTTCAGTGTGACATTTCACTCAAGGTCTCTGCAGCTCCAAGAGCAATATTGGTGTTGAAGCAGGTCCCAGCAGAGTGCCCTCAGGCTGGGCTTGGGATTAGTCACCCCCTTCATGTCCCCAGGAGGGGGCGGTCAGGCAGCTTGGCCTCACTGGCCTTTCCTCACTCTGGGGAAGGCCTGGAGCTCTGACAGCTCTGGGTTCCTGGCCATCCCTGCCCTCCTTTCTCCTGGGCAGAGGGTGAAGGTTTACAAACACCAAGCGGCCTTTGATCGGCATCAGACCCCCAGGGTTCTGAGTGTTTTTTGTTCCAAACCCCTGGCTGGGAGCACGCTCTGTTTTGCCTCCAGCAGAGGAGACCTTAGGTAGGAGGAACGCGTGTGGGCATGAGAACGGCTGTGTGTGTGTACGGGGTGTGTGTGTGTGTGTGAGAGAGGGGGGGGGAGGCTCAAGTGGACCCTTGACTGTGTCCAGCACGCAGGCTGGGTGTGTAAGAGGGAATCCAGCCCAATCCAATAAAGGAGCACCCACTACATTCCAGGTGCCATCTTAGAGACCAGGGAGAGAGAAGTGGGCCAAACAGGGCTCCCTGCCCAGGACCCAGGGCTGAGGGGCCCACGCGGTAAGCACCGGAGCAGGCGAGTCAAGGGACCGCAAGTGGCCAAGATCCAGGAGATGAAGCTGGGGAGCAGATGGGGGCTGGGGGTCTTTCCTCATTCACAGGGGGTTTGCCAGGCATTTGCAGGCAGAATGCCTCTGGCATTGGCTGAAGGAAACCAAAGAAGCAGCCGTGAGAAGACCCTGGGGATAGTGTCACAAGGCAGAGGGAACAGGAAACACAAAGGCCTCTGGCGTGGCTGCAGCTGGGAAAGGGCGAGGGGCCCAGTGTGGCTCGCCCCGCCGAGAGTGGGGGGCACAGCAGAGAGCAGAGAGGGGCCACAGGGTGAGAGCTGGGGTGGCCCTGAGTGAGGAGGGACCACCACAGTGTCCTGCAGAGGACTGAATGGGACTCCGCAGCTGCTAGGATGCTAGGCGGGGCGTGTGGCCGGTTACACAGGACTTCTACATAGAAACGTAACAGCAATGCAGAGAGGTGCGCGTGTGGACGAGGGGAGTTTGAGTAGATTCACCAACCAACCACCCACGTACTCAGCTCTCATCTCAAGAAGCAGAACCTCCACTCTCCCAGGAGTCTCCAGGAGCCCCCGCTGCACGGCCCGCCTCAAGGGTAGCCAGTCTCCTACCTTCTGATTCCCTCTGCAGGTAAAGCTGAGTGGGCTTCAGCGGGTCTGGGTCGGGGTGCAAGATGGGAGTGAGAGGAACGCCCAGGTTCAGCCCAGGCGCTGGCTCTCCCACAGGTTAGATGGGCAGATGGTGGTGGGAGCAGAGAGCAAGGGCTGGAGCCACGGGTTTGTTTTGGATGATTGAGATTAGAGGCAGCTTGGAGGCCCCTGGAGAAGATGCTGATCGTCTGTCTAGGGGTTGCGCACTCCAGTGTTGCAGGGAGAGGCAGTGTGGAGGCGAAGATGTCTGAGAGCGAGAGCACCCTCCCTCTTGAGTCCACAGGGAGAGGACAGGAGGACACACACGGGAACGGGCAGGCAGCCTGAGTGAAGGAGAACCTGGAGGAGTGGGGACAGGGTGAGCAAAGCCCCTTTACAAGGCCAATGTCAGGACAGGCCCAGGGCAGTTGGATCCTGGCAATCTTTCCAGACAAGTCAGGGCTCTGGACTGTGAGTGCTTAACTTGGCAACTGGGAAATGAACATCCTGTGGACCCAGTGAACAGTGTCCAGGTCATCAGCCACTGGCTCAGACCAAACCTTCACTTGGGCACTCTCCCCTCCTTCAGGGACAGCTGGGGGCAGAGACTGGCCAGGCCTTGAGTGGGCCACATCCAGTCCAGTGTTCCCGCCACCGTCCTTGAAGAGGAGATCTCAGATCTCCTTTATGGCTCTGTTGCTACTTTGATCTAAGCAGAGGGGCCTGTGGTCCCCAATGTCCTGGCCTGACCAGGAAAGGCAACAAGGTGCCCGGAATGAGCAGAGCTGTGCGGGACTGGGGTCTGTGCCTGGCTGGGTGGGCCTGCTGGCTTCTATGTACTCTCAGCTGGGCTGTGGCCTCCCCAAGTGCAGCCTCCTGCCTGCCTGGCTCCCTACCCATCGTCCTCCACTCCTGACCTCCCAGGTGGCCTCATTTAAAGCAGGAATCACTGATGGGGGTGTTTTGGGATCAGGGCAGGGTGTGAACTCGCCCCTCTCAAGACCTTCCATGACATGTAACATCATCCACAGAAGCAATCTTTACAGATTTGCCCTTGTGTCTAGTCTTGGTGACCAAAAAGGGGTCACATGCCCACCTGTCCATCAGGGACCAATCTGAGCTTCACCTAACACACCCTTGGGCAAATTGGGGCTCTGTCCAAAGAGTTAAGAGGAGCCACATGCCTCTTTTAGGCAACAGATCATGTCTGGCACAATCTACCATTTGCAGGCTGATGACTCTGGGAAAGTTGCTTAGCATCTCTGGGCCTCAGCTCCATCATCCATAAAATGGGCACAGGAAATCACAATTGCTTCCTGCCTTCCCAGCACCAGTTCCCATTTTTCTCATGACACACCTTGATGTTTAGGGCAGTAGTTCCCAGAACAGCAGTCCGAGCACTACCGAGCTTACTAGGAAGGCAAATTCTCAGCCTTGATTCAGAAACACTGAACCGGGTCCAGCAATGTGGGATGTGCACCTAGGCTTACAGAGGGGCACAAGAGGCTGTATCCTAGTTGCTTGTTTGCAATATGCGTGATCCTACAGCTACACCGCTTGCTGTTCCTGAGTGCCTGGCGCTGGCAGGGGCAGTTAGTGCTCCCCAAGTTTCACAACACTGGTGCTCGCAGTGGACACCGATGTGAGGCCCAGATCCCCTTCAAGGAAGGGTTTTTTAATGGTCAAAATTGGGGTGTTCTGAGAGGAGTCAGTGAGTGGAAGAATGTTAGCCTGGAGAAGCCAGGAAACAATGACCTGGGGACTAAGAAGATATTGGGATTTGCAAAGGGAAGAGACAGGGTCTTGTAGGGAAATCTCTGTAGGTGGACACAATACCTTTATTTTGTTTATTCTGTGATGCTGAGGAACGAACCCAGGGCCTCCGACATGCTGGGCAGTGCTCTGCCCGAGCCGCAGCCCCAGCCCACTGTACGGAGACCTTAACAGGAGTGGGACGGGCAGCCGCAGTGGGCTGGAGGGGTCCCACACTGTGGGTGATGCCTGAGGGCGAGCACTGACAGGGATGTTCCAGGAAGGACCAATGGAACCACAGGCGACTGATGGGCATCCCCACAGAATGCAAGTCATTGCCACCAGTGTGGCAGGAATTCTCATCCAGTGATGGGATTTGTCAGAGGGACAGTGCCCACAGAGAGGGAAACCGAGGCAGGGATTCCAGAAATCCAGAAGAGTTGGAGGGCATCACTCACCCAATAGGCAATGGCCATGGCGGTGGAGGTCCAGTAACATGAGTTGTCCCTACTGGATCTGCAGAGGGAAGGGAAGGGGGATGAGAAAGGGAAAGGAGGAGACCAGGTCAAGGTCAAGGGAAGGCCTGAGGGGCTGCCCATGTGGGAAGTCCAAATGCCAGTTGCCAGTCCCCCATTTCAGCACCAAAATGTAAGAAAAGAACCAACTGAAGGAAATAAAGAGGCAGGAGAGGAGCTCAGTAGTAACACGGGGCTATTGGGGACAACCTGCACAGGGGCCCAGTGACACTGGAGCCTGACTTCCCCTGACAGCCTCGGGAGGTTACAGGAGGGAGAAGGGGCGGGGGAACCTCTGCAGTTTGGCCATTGCTGGGGGATTGTCCGCAAAGGGTCCTCATGGTCATCACGGTCATTCTTTGTGGTGGTCACTGCTCCATGTTCAATAAGGTGTTTCTCAAGATTTCAGTCCCAGATACTGATTCTCCTACAGGATGTCACCCGGGGTGTGGGTCCCTGAGGTGTGACTCACTAATACTCACCCAGCTGTATCTGCATCCTGGGAATCCTGAGCCAGATGTGCTCACAGCAGGCCCACACAGCAGGCTCTGCTCTCGGCTCAGGTCATGGACGAGGACACTGTGGCGAGGGGGTGCCAACTTGTGCCATGGGTAAGCAAGGAGACAAGGATGGAGTCATCAGACCTCTGGATGGAGGGGTGGCATGTCTGGTTTAAAAGGGTCCCTCTCCCTACTGAGTGAAGAACTAGGGGTCAGGGCAAAACCAGGGAGACCAGCCAGAGAGCCACTGGGGGCAGAGCGCAGCAGGATCAGGGATCTCCAGAGGGCTGTGGGACGGTCCCTGCCACTGCAGCTTTTTCAGGATCTAGCAGAGCTGGGCGCAGCCAAACGCTCGCTAAACACCTCGCAAAAGAACAAGTGAAGAAGTGGGGAAATGGTGAGGTGACGGGAAGGGGCCAGGCCACACTGTCCTGAGTGACAGCCAGTGCCTGCCACATACTGACGCTCAGCTAGGCGTTGAGGGGAAAAAGGAGCAAGTTCAAGGGAGGGCAGATGGGAACAGGGGGAAGCAGGGGAGTAGAGGAGGGGAGGAGGGAGGAAAGCAGAGGGAGCTTTGCTCTTCACCTGAGCAGGGATGACACTGGTAACTGCGACCCCTGGTGGCAAAAGAGCCACAGTCCTTTGGAATTGTGCCCCAAATTAAAAGTACCTCTTGTTCCCTATCACGCCTCAGCCAAGTTGCCTGTTTTTAAGCCAGTTCCCATCTGAAAAGTGGGGACAGCTGAGAGCTGCTCTCGGTCCAGTGTGGAAACAGCTGGCACAAGCCTGGCGCAGTAAGCAGCAGCGTGCTCCTCTGCCACTCGCAGCTACCCAGCAGGGGAGCCTTCACTCACTCCTGGCCACCGGCCCCCGCGCAGCACACTCAGTGGGCACTCGCCGCAGTGAGCAAACAGACATGGCTCTGGTCCCTGCAGAATGCTTACTCCCTGCACGCAGGGGCTGTCTGTTTTGCTCACAGTTGTTGCCAGTACCCAAATGGCCGCAAGCACACAGAAGGCGCCCAGGACACACTTGCTGACTGGAACCCGCAGGAAGCACAGTGCTCCATCACACCCACACCCGCTGTTGGGCTGGGAGGCTAAAGGCCAGTTACTGGCACTTTTGTGTTAACTCAGTTTTCCCGCTCTGTAAGCCAGACTCCACAACCTCCACTCACAGCCACCTCACCACTGCTACTCGACTTTCTGCTGTGACAGAAATCAACTCACTTTTGACTTACACAAAGTTAAAGGCACGTTAGTCAATTGTCTTAACTGGAAGGTAACCATAAAAGCACAGAGCAATGAAAACAACGTTACCTAAATTTTCAAACTATTCCAAGTCTGCTTTTTTAAATGAAAGCTTGGGGCTATGCAGCATTTTTCCTCTTTTCACTATGACCCTCAAAAAGAAATGTTTAGGGCTGGGGCTGGGGTCAGTGATAGAGCACTCGCCTAGCACACGCGAGGCCCTGGGTTTGAATTTCAGCACCACATATAAATAAAGGTATTGTGTGCAGCTACAACTAAAACATAAATAAATAAATATTTTAAAAATACATTTATGTCAAACCTAGCATATGTCTGTGATGGGTTTAAACTATGTCTAAATATATACTTGAAATACATTTCATAAAGTAATACACTAATATTTTCTAGTCTATGTGACTCTTTCATCTTTTAAAATGTTGTTCTATATTCCTCTAAAGTGGTTTTGAGTCAAGTATATGATGTACACAATAATAACTACCACCACGCCGGGCTGGAGGGCTGTTACATACCATGGCCAACTGAGACTTTATCTGGGTCTCACCAAAAGGATCGAAGAGAATACAGTTCTCATTATGTGGTTCCCCCCTTTACCCACATGCACATGAAGGATACAGGTCAGTTTGGGAGAAAGTCTGTCCCAGATTAAATTTATATGCCCAATTCTGCCTAGAACACGTCTTACGTAAGCTCTTGAGAACAGAACTACAGATGATAATGGTGACCCTCGACAAGCATGTCCACAGACCACTTAAAAATATCTCAACACTTTATTAAGCCTAATCTCATTTGGAGCATTTTCTCAAATTTGCTTTGAGAAACAGCTTAACTGAGTGGTGTCACACAGCTCTACCCAACCATGGACCTCTTTCTTCCTCTTAGGCGCACTTCATCTAATTTTTTGAGCACTGGCTTGGACTTTTTGGAGAAGGTGGAGTAACTCTTCAGAATGGCTTCAAACACAGCCTCAGTGTTGGGGTGTGTACTAAGGAAGGCTTTCTCCAGGACGTAGAGATCCACTCCCTTATCTTCCGGAAGTCCTGAAACGAAACTCAGCCCAAAGTCTACGAGTACAATGTTCAGCTGATCCACGGGGGGTTTCAGAAGCATGTTGGAGGTGGTAAGATCGCCATGAATGAGATCTTCATCATGCATTCGAGCCAAAACCTGCCCAACTGCCTTGGCTAGGGCATAGAAGATTTGGGGAGCTCTTTCAGCCTTCAGAGAGGATCGAATATAATCGCGAACAGTCACTGAGCCTTCAATTTCTTCCATGTATAAGCAGTTGGAAGCATAGTCCACAAAAAAGACAACCGGGGCTGATATCCCTGCAATCAATACACAAGTCGTTATTGGGCTGAATTCTTTTTAACGATAGCCTTCATTTTCAAAGACTGAGTCAGTTTTCAGCTTGTATCTATTTATTTTAGAAAAAGATTTAGGAATGGTGCAGAAAATGGTACAACTTATCTGGAAGTTCCCTTGCTCAGGCACTGCAGAACTATGCCTGAGACCACCTACAGCTAAGTTTAGAGAAGTCAAAGCTTTCTCTCCTAAATCACCTTTTATAACTAGATTTCATTTGTCATACTTAACTCCCTAAAAAAAAAAAAAAAAAAAAAAAAAAAAAGATCTAAAAGGGGACTCATGATCCAGCCAGCGCAGTTTCTACCTGACAAGGAAACAAACAGGCCAAGCAGTATGCTGGCTTAGAGGTTCATCTCTGTGCTCAAAAAGAACAGGGTTCGAATCCCAGCTCCCATCCTTATTACCTGAGCACTTTAAAGTTACATTAGCTTCTCTCAAGCCTCAGTTTGTGCTACAATAACATAAAACAATACCACGAACACACTCGATGAATTTTTATTGAATGTCAACCATGCTCAGGGCACATCTAGAAACTAGAGATATGTCAATGGGGATACAGGAGCAAACAAGGAAACCATGTTCTCTGCTTAATGGCACTTACATCATACAAAAGGTCAAAGGAGAAAACAGGAACCAATAACTTCATTAAAAGGATAGCAATTTACTTACATTTGCACTGATGAATTTTCCCAGATCACCCAAATCTTAACAATATCCTGATGTATGCTGGGTGCCTAAAAAGTACTAATTTAAAAAAAAAAAAAAAAAGCAAGAAGTGCTGAATCAGAGGAATGGACCACTTACTAGCTGTGAAAACCTTGGGCAAGTTACTTCCCTTCTCTGAGCCTCAGTTTCTCATGTGAGGATATGTTTGTGGTGGTGCATGATGATGCTTTATCAAAAAAAAATCTATATATAAACACACACACATTCAGGAGAGCTATGTCAGGCATACATTCAAACATACAATATGGCATATACCTAGTATCTTGGTCACAACATCTAGGATGGACACGTCTACTACGACTTGCAATTCACAGGAGAGGGAACAGGGGGACAGGTTAACTTGTTGAAAGTCTCCATAAGAAGCAGCCAGAGAGCTTGGCTCCACGGCGAATACTTGTAATCACATCTGATTCTTAAAATGAATGAATGAATGGATAATAATGCACAATTCAAAAGGCCCAAACACGGAGCCTGAAGCATGGGAGGTTAAATAAGGTGCTCAACCTTGAGCAATCAACAGTGGCACAGCTGAGATGTGAACCAGGTCGAAGGCTCTGCGACAAATGCTCGTAGGTGAGAGACGATGAGAAATCTTAATTAATGAAGAGTGGGCCAAGCACGGTGGCCCACTCCCGTAATCCCAGCGCTCGGGAGGCTGAGGCAGGAGGATCACGAGTTCAAAGCCAGCCTCAGCAAGGAGGGGGCGCTAAGCAACTCAGTGAGACACTGTCTCCAAATAAAATACCAAAAAGGCTGAGAGGTGGCCCGGTGGTCGAGTGCCCCCGAGTTCAATCCTGGTACCAAACAACGACCACAAGAACTAAGGAAGACGGGAACGAAAAGAGAACACTGCCAAAGGCCGAGGCCAGCAGTGAAAGGGAAGAAACTAAGGCAGACGGGACGGGAAGCTGGGCTCCTCCCGCCGCCTTCGCCCAGGGCCCGGAACCTCGGGGTCTCCGCGTGCCGCGAGCCCAGCTGCCTCACCTGCACGGCGACAGCGGAGCAGCGCCCGGGCCTCCTGCACGGTCCGCCGCCGGCTGAGCCGCGTCTCCAGCACCGGGTGCCGGTAGCCCTTGGGGAAGCGGTGCTTCACCACGGCCGCGCGGCCCAGGAAGTGGCCGCGGTACAGACGCGCCTCGGCGCCCTGCTTCAGCAGCTCCAAACCGCTCAGGAAACGGCTGCTCCGCTCCCGGGCGGCGGCCAGCGGCTCTACCTCTGGCGGCGGTTCTTCGCTGGCCTCAGCCATGATGCTCTTCTGCGCAGGCGCGCCAAGCGCTTCCGCTCGCTCCGGAAACTACGGGCAGTGCTTCCGCTCGCTCCGGAAATCCTGGGACCTCTTCCTCCATTCAACCTCTCCCCTCGGACACTTCCGCCCGGTGGGAGTGGTTCCGCCTCCGGGCGTGTCGGCCCTTTTGAAGGCCTCCGGTGTCTCGGGTTGGGCTCCTGTGGCCGGCCCCTGCTCTTCGTCCATCCGCGTCAGTTCTCTCCGCGGTTCCTTCCCCTCCTGGTTCTCTCCGGGAGTGGTCGGTGATGGTCGCGGTCGCCTTTGTTTTAGCGCCTCCGGAGGCAGACGGGGCTCTGCTCGCCCCCCACTGGCCATTTTTTTTTTGACCCCCAACACACTGGTCAGAGCCCGGAGGGGCGGACTTGAACCATTTTGAGCCGTTTTTCCTTCTAAGTGCTGGGATGATCGCCACCTAAGTGACAGGATAAATTATCATCATCATTATTATTATCATTGTTTGTTCTGGAGGCCGAGCCCAGGGGCGCCTTACCTCCGAGCCACATCCCCAGCCCTTTTTATTTTCCATTATTTTGAGGCAGGGTCTTGCTAAGTTACTTAGGGCCCCGCTAAATTGCAGAGGCTGGCCTTGACCTTGTGGTCCTCCTGCCGCGTTGGAGGAAGATGAGATTATTCAATCTCTCTGTGCATTCCCCTGCTCATCTGTAAAATAAGCCAATATTGATCTTGTAGGGTTTTTGTGAAGACTTAATGAGTGGCCAGAGGTAAAGTGCCCCAGAACTGTGCCAAGCACGTGATACTAGAAATGGAAGCTGTTATTGTTTATGGAATGCTAAATACCACAGCTACTATATTTACATTCCCAGCGTCCAACCACTCTTTCCTACGGGACCAGCCCTGCCCCATTGTGTGGAATTCTGAGGGGACACGGAGACCACCTCCCTCTGTCAAAGCCCCCAGACACACACCTGTTATGTGATTTGCAACAAGAACCCCGACTTACACCACACTGAATGGCTGTGTGTTTTGGTTACTGTGTTTAAGGGGACAGAATAAGCTGCTGTAAAATAGTGACTTAAACATGTAAGATGTTTATTTCTCTGTCATACAACAGTCCAGGTCTGTTGCTTCCTTCTCTGAGTCTATGCCACCTGTTACCCCCTCCACTCAGCAAGAAGAGGTATGAGAGTGGGAGGTAGAAAGCAAATAGGTGAGGGGTTGAGCCAAAATGCCAAACAGCACTTCCACTCACATCCTATTGACCAGAAGCGGGTCACGTGTCCAATGAGGCTGGAAAGGAGGCAGGGACCATACTCTATCAGGCAGCCATGGGTCAGCTAGAGCTCTGGGGGATTAGTACCAAAAGGCAATAAGGGAGGAATGATTAGGACACAATCGGTAGACTCTGCCATAGTTTTGATATTTTAAGCTGCAGATAACAAATAACTCACTACCATCAACAGTAAGCTTACTTCTGATCTCACAACAGCTCGAGATGGGGTCCCAGGTGTCATTCAGTCGCTTTATGAAACTAAGGACCCAGAATCTTGCCATCTTTCTGTCCCACCAGCCCTAGCCTATGGTTTCTGTCCTTACCTTTGTCACCTTACGGTCACTAGGGGGCCACTAAATTCTATAAATCACATGAAAACGTAAAAACCACACTGAAGAGAGCACCGCTTCCCGCACACACCTCTGTATTGGAAGGAAGCTTGTCGCTGGGAGTCCTCCTGTCCCTGTCAGACTCCTGCAGTCGGCCCTCAGGACCGCCTCAGCAGCAGAGGCAGCTGGACATGTGAGAAGCTGTCACTTTAAGTCTCTGTAGACAGGACGTGCT